AGATAAGACTAGACATATTACTTTAATTGAAGTAAGAGAAAATTAGTTTTAAATATCCAAATATAATATATTTTACTAGTAAACTAGAATATGGAAGGAGTTTCCAAAAGAATTGATGGAATAAAAATCACCAGAAAATCTTCAAATCAGTTTGAGCTATGCTTACTGGACAGTTTAGGGACAAAAAGCATGTATGAATGATGGCCTTCTACAGTTCCCAGACCAAGCAGTTCTACTAAACATGTTCTGTACTCAGTTGTGAACACACAGTTCTTTGGGTGTAATTGCATAATTCTCTCATATGTCAGATGAGGCCTTGTGATTCTTGGGGGAGGGTGCGGGGTGGAAGGTCAGATTACTGAGAACTGAGATGTGCCTTTTCTGAACAGAGATGGACGCTTTATTGCTTTGATTTTAGGACTTTTCCATCTGCTTTCTTGACAAAGGGCATTGAAGCGTGAAGCAGCTATGATCCAGATCAGATAAATGTAGAAGGAAAATCTTAATGAATGGGACTATTTTTATACAGAACTATTTTTTGCTTTGCTAGATAAACACGTGAATTAGTCTGATTAATGGCTGGGGCATAATTTGGTCATGTTATTCTTTAATTAATATACTGTAAAATGTTGCTATTCAAAGTTTTTGCCCTTTCTTGTAGTTACAACATATCTTACTTAGGCATAAGCAGTACTTGACGGATTTCTTTTTACGATTGCTTCCAGGCTGTTGCATAAACACTCCGTCAGCATAACTGCTATTTCTTCAGAGTGGTCTTTGCATATTCCCCTTTCTGGGATGCACACTTCACACACACCCCACAGCTGCTGAACTTTAGGAACCTTCTAGAAAACCGTTGCCTGTTGACCCAACATAAATGTCCTCTCACAGCACCTAATATTTGGAACCAAAGTTATAAGAGGTCATGCAATTTCTGGGCTTTCTTTGGCTCTGTTTCAGGGCATCCTGTCAACTACGGACCATTGCAACTCAGAAAATACTAGGTTGAAAGTGGTATATTTCATAATCCTCTGTTTTATTGGTGTTAGGTACATATACTGCTGCCAAGAGTTCTACAGGAAAATTCCTTTTGTCAGATCACTGTTCTACTCACCAGACCTTTATGGCAGGCACTCTTGATTCTAGGCCTTCTTCGTGATGATGTACCTTTGACCTTGACCGTCATATCAGTTCTTGGTTCATCAGGACCCCATTCCCTTTCATACACGGAGGAGGGTTTTGTCTGATTTGACACCCTCTAAAGATGGGAATTGGATTTTTTATGTCTAAGACTGGAACTTTCCTCTGGCTCCAAGCTGGTGGAACTGCTGCTTCAGCAATGAGGCACTTGATCTATCTCAATCTTATGTTAGGACAATTTCTGTGGTGAGGACTTTGACTGTGCCTGCTTCAGTTACACTATTCACATTAATAAGGACCACGAAGGAAGTGAAGGATTGCAGGATTAGAATTATTTTCACTATTATTTGTTGAAGATCAATGCAGAACAAAAGTAAAGCTAGTTCCTATCTCAAAGATCTGATTGGGCTCTTCATTAGCCTTTGTTATAAAAGAAAATGGATTAGATTATCATAATGGATCCTTCTTACCATAAAGATCTATGAAACTTTTCTGCTCATTCTCATTAGCTATAAAACTGGGATAATAATTACTTTGTCAGTTGAGGTAAGATCCTTGGAAGATAGATACTGTAAAAATGGAAGTATTAGTAATGATGCACTTACCTAATTGTATACTAAAGAGTAGTGCTGCTCTGGAAAGTGACTTTGTTGGGGGGGGAAGGTCCACATTTTATCTCAATGATTTCCCAGTCAACTTTTCTCCGTTTACAAGAATTTTTTTTTTCTTATTACTACTAGGCCAGCAACCTCTGTGTGGAATAGTAAAGTCTCAAGTTATGTTCATTTATTGTATTATCACAAGTAATAAAGATACCCTCAATTACACCAACTCAACCCTATTGCCTTCAGAGGGTTGTGCAGCAGTAATTCAGAGCAAAACTTGAAGACAATGAGGTGGCACAGATGGTTCTTCGTTTGGTAACTCGTTAACAATTGTGTTGATGAGACATGAGCCAGAGCTGAATCCAGTTCTCTCTTCCATAGCTATGCTGGTTCTGCAGGAATTAGTTGTGAAATCTTGTCACTCAGCAGATATGACTCCAAATACAGAAGGGGAGCAGATCTGCTGTGTAAGAAATTACCATTTTTACGCATTGACTTTTCAGAGTCATACTGCAATTTAAAGGGCTCATTGTAAATGGAACTTGTGTTGGCGTACAGAGAGGAGGGAACATTTCCTCATTTGTGCATCCCATGCAAGACTAGGGACAAATGCAATCCGTGCATTTTGGGGAGAACGGATACTTCTGCCTCCATGAGCTCCTAGGTGTGCATATTGCCCCTACCTTGTATCAGCCACTGTAGTGATCTGTTAGAATGGCACAACCCTGAGCTTCGGCCCCCTGAAGCACAATCCCTCCCCATCTTTGTCCTGGGGTTGTACACATCTACACGTGCCCCAATACAGACCTGGTATTTAATAGCACAATTTGGCCCTAGAGAAAGTGTAGTAAGGTTAATTTAAGGTCTGATCCTCTAAGGTGCTGACAGGGCCGGTGTAAGGATATTTGGTGCCCTAGGCAAAACTTCCACCTTGCGCCCCCCCCATCCTCCCCTCCCCCCTGGAGCATCGCTTATTATAAACGTTCAAAAATGAATACTGCATAATGTGGCAGCAAATCTCCCATCAATAACAATACAAGCAGTCAGGAGAATGATGAGGGGCAATTGGCCCAATGCTGGGAGGGGGGAGAATATGGCCCTAATGTGGTCACTAAACTTCTACCTAGTAAAGTTACTGGTGCATCTGCTGTCATTTAGTGGGAGACCAAAAATCTCTTGGATGCTGCAGCCTTCCCAGGGGTCAGCTGCACTTAACCTGAGTTGCTCGCACACTTGCAGTTCTTGTACACCACACAACTGGTCGCCCATGTTACATGAAAATCTGGCTCTGACGGTGTTGTAATTAGACTTAACAGTTACTGCCACATTTCCTAGAGCTGTTGTCCCAGGCTGGCTGCATACTCAAACAGGCAGAACTGTGTTGGCTAGACGCCCAGCACCTTTGGAAGATTTTCCTTATAGCCATATGGGCTCGAGACAGCCGTGTTTCTTCACTGAAAACTTGCAGCATGCTGTCCCTGAATCCCAGATTAATACCTTGTGTGGGCAGGTGCAGAGCTCAGGGCTTGAAGGCCTCTGGTCTAGTGGTGTGAACCAGCACGGAACTAGGAGCCTTGATCTGCTGTGTTTAAAGCAGGACTCTGACGATGACTCCCTGGGTGACCTTGGGCAAGTCACGTCCCTGTTCTCTGCCTCAGTTTCCCCCAAAATGGGGCTCTATTTACCTGCTCCACAAGGCTGCGGGGATGGATAGGGATGAAGCCTTGGAAGGTGGCACGTGCTGAGGACGGTTACACTTTTGCAACTCTTTAACCCTGTATCCTCTGGCAGGGCCATGATCTACCCCTGCAGGTGGACTGGTGACCAGTCTCCTCTTCCTTTCCCCAACCCTCCACCTGCCGCTGCATTGCTGTCAATAGGGCCAGCTGCAGGTGGGCTGATGTCACCTGCTCCGATCTGCAGCTGGCAGCCCTTCGGCAGCAGCCGCTACTGCGGCAGGGGGTCCAGGACTGCCAGAGCCAGAGGGATTGGGCTAGGGAGCGATGTGGCAGCCCGGGGGCTCGGGGAGGAGGCGGCTCCAAGCTGGCAGGGGGGTGTGGGCAGGCAGTGATGTGGGTCATGGCGGAGGGAGGCAGTGGGGCCCATGATTGCAGAGGATGCCCACAGAGGTAGGTGCTAACGTGACTGCGAGCGGCCCATCCCCCTGCCGGGAGCAATAGTGAAAAAAATTGGGGGGCACCGCTTTTTGGCACCCCCAAATCTTGGCACCCTAAGCGGCCGCCTAGTTCACCTAGTGATTACACCTGCCCTGGGCACTGAGCACCCTCAACTCCCAATGATTCCAGGAGGTGTTCCCCTCCTCTGGTATCCTGTTTCTATCTGTGTTGCAAGCTTTCCAAGAAGTAGTAAAACTCCCCCAATACTGAACAATGTGTAGGGAGTTTTCTCCCTTACCTTGCCTGGTAATTTGTTGCAGCACGAGATTTGACTGTCATTGGAATTTTAATATTATAGAAGGGGTAATGAAAATTCTTCTTAATCATAAATGAAACTTTTTTTCAAAATTTACTAAGCTATTTCCATCAATAATATCCCCTGGTTGTGCAGTCTATTGGTTAAGGGTATACTGCATAAAACAGTATTTCTTTTTATCACTGTTACATCTGTTGGCAGTGTTAATTTGTTTTAATTACCTGAACCATTTCATTATCTCAGGTATTCAGGTCTCTGCTCTGGTAAGGTGATACTTGGTCAATGCTTAAAGCTTCATGCTTTTTGATCTTGAGCTTGTACAGAAGCTTCGATGTTTGAAATGTGTACAGTATATATCAGCAGTTTTCAAACTGCGGGTCGCGGCTATTAAAAGTCCTATCGGCGGTGCTGCCCAGCTAAGGCAGGCTAGTCCCTACCTGTTCTGATGCTGCGCTGCACCCTGAAAGTGGCCAGCAGCTGGCCTGGTTCCTAGGCAGGGCGCCACAGGGCTCCGTGCGCTGTCCCTGCCTTGAGCACCGGTTCCGCTGAAGCAGGGCCGTGTCTGCGGGCGAGAGCTGTGGAGCTGCTTGCGCACCTCTGCCTAGAAGCCGGACCTGCTGCTGTCTCCTTCCTCTGAAGCATCAGAGATGGCCATGGCTGGAGATGGGACGCTGGATGGGGTTGGTCAGTGCTCTGAGGTGGCACCAAGCATTCTCTCTGTCTCACGTGCTTAGTTGGCTGATTCTTGTTCAGGGTCTAATTGATCGCTGCATGTGGGGTCTGTAAGAAATTCCACCCCCACCCCAGTCAGATTGGCAGGGATCAGATTGGCAGGTTTTTTGCCTTCCTCTGCAGCATCGAGTGAGGGTCACTTGCCAGTTATATCTCAATCATTTCCCTGCCATTGCAGGAGCCTTGGGCATTGGTGCACCTTGATCCTTCCTGTTCTCTGCCTGTGGACATAATAGTTTAGTCTCCTGTGGGCTATTAGACTTTGGTCTAATTTTGGTAGTTGGGTGTAGTGTGTGGGACACATTAGTGGCTTGTGATACGTAGGAGGTCACACTAGATGAGTTTGTCATCTCTTCTGGCCTTAAACCCTATGACTCGTACTGTACTCACTGAAATGAGAGAAGGGGTTTAATTTTAAATGCCTTATTTTTCATTATGTTCATTTTGAATCAGTGCATCTGCCATTTATCTCTGTTATATTTATAGCAGACTTTTGACCTCAGTACTTATATCCTATCTGCTATTTTCTTGTAACAGAACATTAACACTCTTCCTGCCAAAAACACCTTTATAATAGAAATGCTAGTACAACTATTCATGTGCAAATAGTATATGTCCAAGTGTGTATGGAATTTAATATGAGGCCTGATATAATTCATGCCATCTCAGAATTGTATAGCCTGGTGATATTGATTATGTTTCCTTTCATTCAACAAACATCTGCTGCAGTCATGAGGCAATGGCAACAATTATTAACAGCACATTATACATAATTTCCAAAAATATGTATGTCAAGACATTATTGAAAATGTTTTGAACAGTTCTTGTTTGAGTTATTGCTCATGTCCATTCCATTGGACCACTGTGGGTGCATCGAAGAGGGAATTCTTCCCCTTCCACAAGAATTGAGTCTGTGTGTAGAAAAGAAACTTTTAATAAAAAGGGGAAAGTAATCCAGCATTGATTTGGGAAAATGCCACAAGCATTATTCAGAAGTATATGACCAAAGCAAAATCCCCACCCCAGAGTACGGTGGGCAGTGTCCTTTGCCTCAGGTTCTCACCTTGTTGTAAGGTGAGAACCACCGCACCCCACTCACCGTTGTTGTCCCTAGTCAACAAAGACCCAGAGTTCACAGGTGCATTCAGTGAATTCACCCCCCAGCTGGGGTGGGGTAAGGTACCTTGGCTCATTCTGCCATCGGTCGCTCTGCCAACGCTCACTCCACCATCAGCTGCTCCATCACTGCACATTCACTGTCAGCTGTTCCACTGTCACTCACTCCACCACTGCCCTCTCTGCTAAGACCACCCCTGTGTCTTGAGGTCTCACCCCTTAACACAGCTCTCAGTGATTTCAGCTGTTAGTGCAGGCTCATCAGTTCCTTTCACCAGAGACACTGTTCTTTCTCCACTGCCGGAAGGCCTGAGATGGAGCTTTTAGTGTTTTTGCTCCCATTTTTTTCCCCTGGAGCTTGCCTTTACTGTAGCTTAGGTTAGTTTAGGCTAGTTTGCTATTGTTATTGTTAGTTGGATAACACCTCTTATCTCTGCTTTTTTTTCCTTCCTCCAAATGTGCACTTTTTTTTTTTAAGGAGGGCCATCTTCAAGAGTTGTCGCTTGTTATGCCAGGTTTCTCAAGTTTCATGCTTTGCCTTTCCTACTAGGCGTCCACCCCAATAAGCGATGGTCATTCTCGGTGACTCCATTGTTTAGGGAGACACCCATACACCATCCAAATCTAAAATTTGTACTACTTCTAAGAGCAGATCCAGAAAGAACAGAGACATTAAATTTTGGATCCTCATGATGGAGCAAGCCCAGAGACCAGTTTTAGACTTGGGCTCAAGGCGCTCACCGCCCCCCATACACCAGCCTTCAATTGCCCTTCTATCTCTGTAAACCAGTCACCAAGAACTTCACGGCATAAAAGCGAAAGTAATGATAAGGCTCCAAGGAAGACAAATTCTGAGTCTCCCACTAGAGAACCTTCTTCAAAGAGATCTTGGTTACTACACAAGACCTTAGGTCTCAGAGTAGGTACCTTTGAGGCTCTAAGCAGTCCAGGTATCAGGAGGTTGTCAAAGACTTCAAGTTCCTCTAAGAGCCAAGGTATCAAGCATGCTTTGGTACCAACGGAACATGATCTCAGCAGAGAGTCCAAGAGCTATGCTTCTCAGAAGCTGGTACTATCTGCAGAACCCAAGCATTCTGACTCCAGAAAGCTAATCTCAATATCCAAATTAATATTCTCATCTGCTACGCCAGTGAGATATACCAGGATACAATCCAGACTAATGAGCAGCTGTGTCACCCCTCCCCTGCAATCTTGGGTGCTTTACAATGTCTTACTGAAGTAGCTCCCATGTGGGCCACTCACAAACAGTCTTTTAGCATACAAGCCAGATACTGAGTGTCTGTGTGTAATTGAAGCCTGCCAGCCACACTTGGGTTACACTCTGGCTCTCGCCAGCCTTGATTATACTGCAGGGTGACCGTAACACATCCCCAGTCCCAGATTTTCTCCCAGAAATGTATGTCCTGTACTGTCCATCTTTCTCCTGAACAGTACAAAATATATTAAGTCTGCTGTTCCTTAAAGGGCATAGTATGCCAGTTTATTATCTCAAATAGTTACTCAGGAACTTCAATTTTAACACACTGGATTAGATAAAACAGTAGAACAAGTTTATTAACTATAAACAGATTTTAAGGGAGTAAACGTAATGAGCTATACAAATCAGAAATGGTTATAAGAAAAACAAAGATAAAATGTTTACTACTGCCTAACTTAACAAACTATATCAGATTCAAGCAAAGTTTCTCACTGCATGCTTTCAGCAGTCTTACTGACCAAACTCTGTGAGTCAGGACCCCACCCCCCCCACAGAGTCTGTGTAATGCTTCCCGTGTAGCTTCAGGTGCAGTGAATGCGAAGGGCAGGGAGAGAGAGAGGGGTGTCTTGGGGTATTTGTCCCTCCTCTTACAGTTTCAGTCCCTCTCTTGAAAAACATTTCCAGGTGGGCCCTAGGAGACCAAGAGTCTAAGTGGAAGGATGTTCCTTGATGGCTTTTTCTCACCTATTTGAGCTTTGTTTTCCTCCCTGCTTGATTACTCTGTTTACTGCTTAAATGCAAATTAAACAAAGCACACAAAGAAAGTGAAATAGTTTTTCCTTATATCCAACCTATACCTCCCCCACTGCAACTTCAGACCATTACTCCTTGTTCTGTCATCTGCCACCACTGAGAACAGCCTAGCTCCATACTCTTTGGAACCCCCCTTCAGGTAGTTGAAGGCTATTATCTAATCCCCCCTCATTCTTCTCTTCTGCAGACTAAATAAGCCCAGTTCCCTCAGCCTCTCCTCGTAAGTCATGTGCCCCAGCCCCCTGATAATTTTTGTTGCCCTCCGCTGGACTCTCTCCAATTTGTCCACATCCTTTCTGTAATGGGGGGCCGAAAACTGGATGCAGTAGTCCAGATCTGGCATCACCAGTGCCGAACAGAGGGGAATAATCACTTCCCTCGATCTGCTGGCAATGCTTCTACTAATGCAGCCCAATATGCTGTTAGCCTTCTTGGCAACAAGGGCACCCTGTTGACTCATATCCAGTTTCTTGTCCACTGTAATCCCCAGGTCCTTTTCTGCAAAACTGCTGCTTAGCCAGTCAGTCAGTCCCTAGCCTGTAGCAGTGCATGGGATTCTTCCTCCCTAAGTGCAGGACTCTGCACTTGTCCTTGTTGAACCTCATTAGATTTCTTTTGGCCCAATCTTCCAATTTGTCTAGGTCACTGTGGGCCCTTTCCCTACCCTCCAGTGTATCTACCTCTCCCCACAGCTTAGTGTCATCCACGAACTTGCTGAGGGTGCAATCCCTCCCATCATCTAGATCATTGATGAAGATGTTGAACAAAACCGGCCTCAGGATCAAACCCTGGGGCGCTCCGCTTGATACCGACTGCCAACTAGACATCAAGCCGTTGATCACTACCTGTTGAGCCCTACGATCTAGCCAGCTTTCTATCCACCTTATAGTCCATTCATCCAATCCATAGTTTTTTAACTTGCCGGCAAGAATACTATGAGAGACCATATCAAAAGCTTTGCTAAAGTCAAGGTATATCACGTCTACCGCTTTCCCCATATCCACAGAACCAGTTATCTCATCATAGAAGGCAATCAGGTTGGTCAGGCTTGATTTGCCCTTAGTGAATCCATGTTGACTGTTCCTGATCACCCTCTTCTCCTCCAGGTGCTTCAAAATGGATTCCTGCTCCATGATTTTTTTCCAGGGACTGAGGTGAGGCTGACCAGTCTGCAGTTCCTCAGATTCTCCTTCTTCCCCTTTTTTAGAGATAGGCACTATATTTGTCTTTTTCCAGTCGTCCAGAACTTCCTCCGATTGCCATGAGTTTTCAAAGATAATGACCAATGGCTCTGCAATCACATCAGCCAATTCCTTCAGCACCCTCGGATACATTAAATCTGGATCCATGGACTTGTGCATGTCCAGCTTTTCTAAATAGTCCTTAACCTATTATTTCATCACTGAAGGCTGCTCACCTCCTCCCCATACTGTGCTGCCCAGTGCAGCAATCTGGGAGCTGACCTTGTGTGTGAAGACCAAGGCAAAAAATAGCACTGAGTACTTCAGCTTTATCCACATTGTCTGTCACTAGGTTGCCTCCCCCATTCAGTAAGGGTCCCTCACTTTCCCTGATCACCTTCTTATTACCCTTCACATCCCTTGCTAGCTGCAACTCCAATTGTGCTTTGGCCTTCTTGGTTACACCCTTACATGGTCAAGCAATATTTTTATATTCCTCCCTAGTCACCTGTCCAAGTTTCCACTTCTTGTAAGCTTCCTTTTTGTGTTGACCAGCTGTTAGCAGCTAGGGATCAACTGTTTTGCAGGTGCCTTGGCAGATGAGTTGCTTCCTATGGGTAGCCTGTGCACAGCTGCGATCAGCTATTTGGCGCGCAGGCTCAGATCAGCTCTTTCCCACCTCCTTGCTCTAGCAGGGGCTGAGTGAATCTCACACCAAAAAAAACAACCTTAGGGTTAGGTGTGGGTAGGCGTGCTGGGCTATCAGCAGCAGCACTGCCAGCCCCTACACACCTAGGGCCACCCCACACCTCTTGGGCTAATAGCCACGGCGTCCACATGTATGGTTGCTCCCTGCCAGACAGGCTCGACTCTGGCCACATCAGGCATCAGGTGACCCAAGGTAGCCCAGCTAGGCTAGGGCTGGGTGCAGTGGTAGATTAGGGGGAGGAGAAGCTCTGGACCCCAGCAGGAGCCACACTGGGGGGAGGGGAAGGGAGGAGAAGACCCAGACCCAGCAGGAGCCACGCTGTGGTGGGGGGGGAAAGAAGCCCCAGCTGGAGCCACGCTCAGAGGTGGGGGGAGAAGCCCCAGACCCTGACAGAACATATGGGGCTGAAGTCCCCGGCTCGGGAGCCCCAGCCACCCTAGTGGCAGAAGCTGCAGGGCTGAAGCCCCGACCTCACTGTGTGCGGAGCTGGCCTGAGCACCCGCTTCTCCCATTCCCCCTGGGGAGCTGGCTGTCACTCTCCGGCTGTGGAGATATTCAGCCCAAATCTACCCACTTTGGTATCTCCATTTCCCCCATCATCAACAGTCATGAATAGATTTACCTAGGAGGCAGGGTCAGCATTAGCCCCATTTGGCAGGTGGGATCTAGGGCACACAGTGGTGAAGTGACTTTCCCTAGGCTAAGCAGGGAATCTGTGGCAGAGCAGAGAATCAAACTCAGAACACCTAAGCCAGAGGCCTGTGTCTTAACCACTAGGCAACCTTCCCATTCAAAGAAGGGGAACCTCCTCTGCCACTTTGAGTGTGTGGGTGGGAGCAAGCACTAGCCAGAGCCACTAGGAGGTGGGGAGCA